AACGGGTCTTAGTGCTGGGAGAAGTGTGGGTTTTTTTTTTCTGTGCAATAAGACTAATCAGGGTAGCGTTCCTTAAATGTGAGTGACTTGCACTGGTGAAATGCTCCAATCCCCATTGTTTCACTTAGATATTATTAACCTTTTTCTGTAGCAATCCGAATTTGCACTGCTGACTTTTCTTCTGTGCCCTCAGTGCTGCTTGTTTCATCTTCAGTGAAGAAACTTATAGATGTCTAAATGCTAACATATTGGAGTGGAAGCTGAATTTTGTGACTTGTGAAGTCTTGTGAACCCTGCATATGTTCATTGCTGCTATTGGACTCCCGTTCTATTAGATTTCAGCTCCCTTCCTCCTGAGTGGAATTAAGAGAATCTTGACAGCTAATCCCTTGTATGCTTGTGGAGACAAAGGCAACCAGCCATGCTTTCAGAAGCCCTTCCTTGCTTCCAGTTACTCCGGATGGGCCCAGTGTCTCCGGGGGATTCACCCAACCGGGATCTTTACACCTTCCGACCGGCCAGGCCCAGCTGCATCTATCGGCTGGGCCGTCGGGCCGAGGTCTGTGATGTTGTTCTGGTGTCGGAGCAGAATCCAACCTTGATCTCCCGGATCCATGCAGAGATCCATGCTGAGAGGGACGCTGACAGCGCAGCTGGGGAGTGGCGTGTGGGCCTGGTGGACTACAGCAGTCATGGTGAGTCCTTGGAAACGTCCTGCCCCAAGGAGGTGGGGCTACACCTGACAGCTAGGAGGCTGTCCCTGCATTGTCTCTGTAATCTTGGGTGCTAGCATATGCAGGACAAAGATGCATTTGCTCTGTGTCAAAAAAAGGGGAAGAGCTGCAGATTGTTCAGGAGGCAACCGGTATGCAACAAACAGGTTTTAAGTCATTGCTGGTAGCAGTCTAACTAATATTTGTGTGGAGAGCATCAACCATTTCAGAAAATTTTAAAAGTTGCTGGTCATCCCTGTAAAGGAACCTGGCATTCCAAAATATGCTGAGTTGTTAGTCTCTCTGTGTGTGTGTTCTGTGCTGTCAGGTCGGAACTGGCTAATAGCTACTTTAATAGGGCTTTCAAAGTAAGTGAGATGTTTAAGGAGTGGTTTTACCACTTCCACTCCCCCAGTGAGTTTCATGGCTGATTAGGGATTCAAACCCAGGACTCAGAGACCTAGTCTGTTAATCTATACACTAAACTGCCTTGGGTTCTTTTGGGGAGAAAAGTGGGGCAGAAATACGTACGTACGCACACATGCACGCAGACACGTGCGTAAATACACAGAGTACAGGGAATACCCTAGTTGTTAGTACTGTTGGTTTGTTTGTTTTACAGATTTCTGAGAAATGTTTGGAGCCCATCTTAGTTTTGCCCCTTTACAGGTTGGGAGTCAGCTTATTTATTTTGAGTTGAACCCCCAAGATGGACTGAGTCTGGGTCTGCTCCAAAATTCAAAACATATCTGCAGAGGAACAGGAATGCTTTTTCTTCCTCTATCTGTTTTTGCTTCCATAAAATATCAATGGAAACTAAGGGAACAACTCAATTCTTTCCACAAAATGACTACAGTTTCTAAGTAGCAGGAACTGAATTGTATAAAGGTGCGATGCATTTTTTTTGCGATGTATGATTTCAGAGACTGACACATTTATTATGTAATAAGATTTGTGCACTAATGGTGTGTTATACTGTGTTGGAACACAAAAGCATAGATGGGGATGTGGTTGTTACATGCATAAATGGTGGAGTCAAATGCTTATGAATTTGCAGAACAGGAATGCAACGATCATATGAATTTTTGCCACATTGTTTTACATGTTTCATTTGTACCCCTGTTTGTAGCATGAGTGTGTAACAAATCTTCCAAAATGTATTCACATTTACGATGTATGACATTGATAGGCATTTTGATTCCCAGTCCACAGAAAGAATAGGGATAGTCTGGTCACAGTGAGCCAGGCTCTTGGAAGCCGCAGAATGGAAGCTGGCCTTGACTCAGTTGGAAAACTTCAACAAGTTCACAAGGCAGAATTACAATGGTGTTTGTGTTTGTTGAGTATTTATTTTGGTGGGATTTTAAAAACCCATCTGTTTACTTTTGTTAAATTCAGTTTAAATTTCGCCAGGATGCAAAAAAAAAAAAACCATTGATTTTCACCCATCCTGTATTTTGCCTTTCTCCCTTAGAAGTGCCTTCCTACATAATTTTAAAGAAACAAATGCATTTTAAAACCCAATAAATTACAGTTTCAAAACACTATTAAGTAGATTATCATGCTAGAACACAGAAGTAGCACAATTTTAAAACTGTTGAAAGGGGGAAAAACGAAAAGTGCAACAACCACTATTAAAAGGTGGGTCATCATCATTAATCTGTTGCCAAAGGTCCTTCTAAATAACAATGAATTTGTTTTTAAGTATGATTTTTGTTGTATTTATTGTTCAGTTTGTTTTTAGTGATGCTGTTGGGAACCTTGAAGGCTACTATTGGTGGAAAGACAGGATAATAATGTGGTTACATAAAGAAAGAAAGCAAAGCAGGGTTTCTGCACCTGTGGCCCTCCACAAGTTCATTTGGACTCCTCCTGCTTCCTTGTGTCCCACAGGCTACTAGGCCATCTAAGGCTAACAGGAGTTGCAGTCTAACAACATCTGGAGAGCCACAACCATTCATCCTAATCTAAAGAGTGCCCTTTTTCTTTTTTATCGAATTTCACCTTCAGGTACTTACGTCAATGCCGTTCGTACTCCCCACGGCCAGCGTGTGGATTTGAATGATGGGGATCTTCTAACGTTTGGTCACCCCAACCCTGTGCCGGAGGGCTGCACACTGCTACCACCACATGGCAACTCAGAGTTCTACTTCCTCTTCCAGAAAGTCCACGTCAGGCCCCAGGATTTTGCTGCTATCACTGAGCCCAAAGCTCCTTGGGCTTCTTCCTGCGGCTTCAGGCCAGTGCTGCCCTCTGGCAACCACCGCATCCGCCCGCTTTCCCGCCACTCGCCGACCTCCCTTTCCTGCCGTTCCAAAGCCACCCTCATCCTCAGCTCCATTGGCAGCCTCAGCAAACTTAAGCCGCAGCCGTTCACCTTCTCTCTCGACCGGGGCCGCCCCACGGAAGCCCCCGCCCAGCCAAGAACCTCTCGGAATCGCCGCAAGTCGGCGCACACGCTTCTGCCTGAGCTGGAGGATGAGATCACCCGCCTGGAAGAGGAGCAGCCGCCCCCAGTCAAAGTCCAGCGGTTGGGCAACTACGCACATTGTCACGGCGACCCTTTGCGGCTGCCACCAAGAGCGCCAGAGGGAAGCAAGAACCCACACAAAGATCTGAGGCCAAAGCTTCACATCACACCCACTGGGTGAGTCCCTTTTAGGTCTGCATTGTAGCCAGTGTAGCTCTTTCTAGGAAAATTAATTGAAATGCCTATAGTAGTCATTTTTTAAAAGGATGTTATTAGCTGTCTCTTTTAAAAAAATCAAAATAGTTAGCACTTTTGGGGACAAAGAGAAAATTATGTTTATTTCCCACTTTTCCTCCACTTGAACTCAAGGGACGTAGCTTTTCTTCTCCCTATTACTGTATATACTCACAGTGACCCTGTGGAGGGATGTCAGTTTGAGAGACAGTGACCGGCCCAAAGTCATCCAGGTAATTTCATGGCCAGACTTTGGAAAAGATGCTTTGACAGCATCTACCGGAACCCCCTAGCTGGCATCGCTATTTAACTTTTCCAAACTATGCTCTGCTAATTTCACCACTTTCAGCTATCCCCTGTTGAATCTCTTTTT